AAAACAGTTAAAAATACGTTAAACGTGAACCTTTAAAAAAACGTCTAACTCGCATTTTTTAAAAAAAAAATTCAATTATTTCATTAACATTTATTATTTTTGCGATACAAATTTCTCAATATAATTTTCATCATTTTATTAGAAAATTTTATATGGAATATGACATCAAAAAGTTTCGAAATTTTACATCCAAAAAGTCATATCCTATGTAAATTTTCTGATGTAAAATTATATGGGGTATGATTTTTTTGGACGTAAATTTTCGATTGTAAAATTTCGCCCAACTTCTTTGCAAGTTCGATTGTGCCCTCTAACTTTTAAGGTCTGCGTCCTCCCCGTGTACTTGAATAAAATCGAAAATGGGTCTGTACTTCATTTGACGAGAAGATTGAAGACAAATGGACAATCCATCGCCCCAGGGGTCGGGTCCACTTCAAATTGCGTGTGCATTCTTCATCTTTTAGGACGTTTTGCATTTTTAGTCCTCCGACTATCAAGAAGCCCCATATTCATCCTCTTACTACTCAGAGGCGTTTATTTCATCCTCCAAATATGTAGAAGCATCAAGTTAGTCATCTAACTATCTTGAAGAGTCCTCCAACTATACTGAGACGTCAAGTTAGTGATATTATTACAATTTTCAAAAATGTAAATTTCACTTGGAGTTCCTAACTTTGGAACCTTTTAACGTTTGGGTCCACAAAAACGAGCAACTTCGAACTAAAATAGTTCACAATATATCATAGTTAATTCTAGAAACAAGTGTTTAGCCGGACATGATTGAAAGTAAAAAATGCAAAGTTTTTATTGAATACAAAACCTGGATGAAGAGATGAAAAAGAAAAGTACAATCCGTCAATCTTGAACATCTTCAATGATCTTGAATCGCACCATCGTCTTCTTCAATTTGTCTGAAATATCGAGTTCGTGCTTTGTGGTTTGCTCTAAGATAATGTATTGCGATGTATGAGGGGCAAAAAATACAATATGAAAGTTTTTCTATATTCTTTTAAAAGTCCTAAATAAGTATGTAAAACATACTTTTCACATCTGAATATGAATTAATCAAGATTTATATCAGATGATAGAGAACTTTTTACGTACAATATCTTGTATATCGTGAAATTCACTACTAAAGAATATCTTGTAATCGTTTACATTCAAAGCTCTAAAATTTTAGGTATTTCGTCTACGAAAGAAAATTATTTAGTGCTCGTTTGATGAAACTTTACTAAAATTTTATCAATTTTTTAACTGATCAAACTTTACTTTTAGTTAAACATTTCATATGACTCACAACTTTTTTTAACTTTTCAACCAAATTTCATCAAATTTTACCAAAATTTACAATTTTTTTATTAAAAACTTTGTCAAACAACCTGTTATTCATATCTTATAAAATCGCACAAATACAACATGGCTAGAATGAAATAACACCACGAATGGAAAACTCCTTATTCTTTTGTTGCAGAAGGAACAAGGAAGCTCTAGATCATTGATCAGTGAAATCTCTTTTACAGTGCTGCAGCATCTTGTTTACAACTTCATTTAACATCAAGTAAATATCTAATTCGCCCAATTTTTCTCTGGCACCCCTAAAGCTTTCCAGACAGCCTCAGAGACATCAACTATGCTGTTAAGACAAGGAGGCTGATAATCATGAACTGAATCACACCCCACTGTGGAGTCACACTCATCAACCACCATTGCATTCACAACCGGGGTGTTGTCTGAGTGGTACTTATTGTCACACTTTGACGGCCCACCACCATCGGCCACCCTCCTCGAAACTGTTGATGGTTAGAACTGCTTTTGTTTTGCTCGAAATCTTTGGCGAGCACTTTAATACTTGCCTTCCTCACAACACTCATAATCATTTTGCTGGTTGCATTCCCCTTTAGGTGGTTTCTAGCCCTTAATCTTGCCACTCGGCTTGCAGGATTGAACATCAACTCCTAAATTCAAGATCATAATTATAAGCAGAACCAAAAATTCTTCATTTTTTTATCTTCTTCTGGGATTGTCAATGGTTTGTGCATTGAGCTTCGCAAGTTGGTTGGTTCTTAGCATGCACATATACAAGGGCGGAGCCAGCCCTTCAAACTAAGGGGTCCCGGAGTTGAAGGGGCGGGGGCTCACGGAGGTTCGGGGGTAGCGCTCCCGAAATTTTTTTTTTGAAACATTATCTGTTAAAATGAGGAAAGTTGATACTTTGTGATGGAGAAATGAAACAAATGAACATAAATTAATGTACGAAAACTTCACAAAAAAATCAAGAAACATATAAAAGAAACTACTAATCTTTTGAAATACTTCTCCATCACTGAGCCTGAGAATTGAGAAAACTCTTT